GTTTATGGGTGTGTTACAGCTTTGTGACATGGTACCTGCCTAACAAGTTTCTACTAGTTGTTGAAGCTACTTGTGAAGATTCAGAGAGGTTAAGTAACCGAGGCAGAAATGAGACAGAACACTGATCAGAAGCAGAATCTCTGCAGCCCCGATAGGTTACCTCTCTGATGCGGTTAAACTGATCACAGACGCACAGCTAGAAAGTCTAAAAGAGCCCTCTTACATGTAAGACTGACTCAAAACCAGCATATCTTGTGAGACACCCTCTATCTGTTCCACGAGGAGGATATCCTAAATTTTATAAGCGAGATTTCAGCATTTAAATCTACTAAACTGGTCAGGTATCTCCACGTAGCCTTCAGCCTCCTACCTACTCACCCAAGGTACATTAAACATTTTTTGTTGTGTTAATTCAGTCCTGCCTAGGACTTATAATTACACCTGCAAACCTAAGGGCAAGGTTCTTATGATCTTGCCATGGCTGTTTATGCAACACCACTTCCTGCACTCATTGTGTGTCTGCAGGTGTAACTAGCAGAGAAGAGGGTGGTGAGGGGAGTGGAGGCGAGAATCACTGCGTATTAAGTATTTAGTACAGGCCAGGTTTGGTGCTACGCGTTTTCCTTGTGCTACCCCACTGAAGTCTTCTTCAACCCAGAGGGACAACGGGCCCGTGTCATAAAGCAAGAGGGGAGCCCAATAATTCAGGTGTTATGAGGAAAAAGAAGGGAAGCAATGGTAGCGGGAAAGCAGCAAAGGGTGACCTGAGATGGGTGAAGTAGGAATTAGCATCAGGCTTTCCAGATCTATTTTCTGAGGAGGAAACAGAGGACTGCACCTTGCTTCAAAGCCTTTTGGAAAAGGCCCTGTGGAGACCGTCCCTCTAGCGTGCATGTCACCTACGCTCTGTCAGAGTTGAGGTACAAAGAAGAAAATGCCAGCAGGGAAGTGTCGAGGACCAGTGATTGATAAGCAGCTACGCAGACCCAATCATAATTCTGGGAGACAACTGGCTGGTGGAGACCTGTATGCAGTAGTGGCAAAACTGGCTTTTTAAAGAGATGCTCAAATGGTCAGTTCTAATTATAACCACATTTAATACAGGTGACACAAAGATGAAATTTCAAGACTAAGAGGAAATTAAAATGTCCAAATCTCTCAACCAATCTCCAATCTGCTTTACTACTTTATGTCTACAGTAATTAACCATATCCTAAATATCTATTTTATAAAATAGGTCACTATCTCTGTGTGACAATGATAGTTCAATAAGTTAATCCTCCTGTCTCATATATAAAATAGCAAGATAGATGTTAGAAGTTAAAGTCCATGTGAGTTGGACGGGCATTTCCAATACAAGATATTACAAGATAGTTCCCTATATCTAAACCATACTTTTCAACCTCCTATATTCTCAACACCAACACACTGGTGCCATAAAATAGTATACAGTGAACATTTAAGGGAAACTAGAAATATGGGACACCAGCATTTTCCTTGGTTTCACTATTTTACTGTGGTTAAATGAAGAAGAAACAGTGATTTAAATCTATCCTGGTAGACTCTACTCACTTGGTGTTGATAAGGCAGTAAATGGTTTTCTTTCTTTTACTAGCCCTTTTGCTGGTTTCAGCTGAAGCTGCCACATAGGTTCCCACAAGCTCCTAGCACACCCGCAGGCCAGCCCAAAGACTCTGCAGGGTGCCCTCAGGGCTGGGCCGTCTCCTGAGCTGACCTGCCATTCACTGAACAAGCTATCTCCATGGACCTTTTAGCTGCAGCACCAAACTTGCTAAAATAAAAGACCTCAGAGACATCTCATTCAGTCTGCCTATGCTGAAAAGGTTCTACTGTGCATTATCCACAGCACCACCGACTCATTCTCCATACCAAAGAGCCAGGAGGAGGAGGTTTATCAAGGCCCAACAAGTGCCAGGTACCTGACATTCGCACTCAATCCAAAGGAAGCAGTCCCACTTTACAGATGAAATGCATTCAGAAGGTAAGTAATCCACCTAGGATAAAACCAATCTTTTCTAGCAGTAGCATGTTCCCTTCACTGTACATTGATGTCAGCAACACCCAGACATCATTGCTCCTCAGTCTTAATCCGTCCCGCATAACAGCTCCATCAACCCAACATTCAAGTTGAACACAGGAGAACTAAGCAGCTATCACAAGCGGTGTCGGCTGGAGAAGCATATTGCTCAGGCTGCAGGGATATTTTATTTATTTCAATGTTTTTATTTAAAAAAAATTAAAGACCTTCATGGCACAACTTCTTCCCAGCACAGTTATGTTTTAGTTATACCAATTACAATACAATTACAACCAATAAATCAAGGGGAGGAGGGGGGGCTTCTGACTTCAAAAAAAAAAAAAAAAGCCACTTCAAACAAGGTTAGAGATGCTTTTAAAACCTTTCAGAGTAGTTGCCAACAAAACTGGTTTATACTGGCGCTCTTTCCTGCCATCTACGCAATGCAGACAAGTAGTGCTGAGAAGGAGCTCCCAATACAAGGCATACAGATGAGGTCATTTGCAGCAACACACAGTTGTTACTCTGTAAATCCTGGCCCCCACTCCCACCCCAGCTGGGTCATTTTCACTCTCCATGCTTCTGCAGGGACTCAAGTAGCATTTGAAAACGATTCTATTGAAAGGCTCCTGGGTGGCACTTCAGAGCCTCTGAACACACTTGCAGTTTCTTGAAAGACTGATGGGTGTGGAGGTCCAGCTGTCTGCAGCTCTCCACTTCAGCCTCAGCTACACCTAGATTTCTGAGCTCCAAGAGTAGGATACGAAGTCTGACTGAGTTATAACCCTCCTCCCCATTTCAAAGGAAAGAATTCATTAGCCATAAGAGTTCTGTCAAATCACAATCCAGTGCAAACATAATCACAAATTGCATCTCTGGCACATCTGGTGCTTTTAGCTTCTGCACAAGTTCAACATGGTCACCCTCACAGCATTCTAGGGCTTAAAAGGGTCAAGTACAATAAATATCCACCGCTCGGTGGCCACAAGGAAGAACTCACCCTGTCACACAGTCAGAATGTTTTCTCTGCAGCCCCCCTGCGGCTGAGCGCTGAGAAGCACTAGGAAAGGAGGCACTAGCTTCCTCCAGGTTCACCATTATAGTCACTAAGCCACCACCTTGGTAAACTTACTGAAACCAAGATGGGTTACAAAGTTAGATAAATTCATTAAATTCAACTCCCCAAACAAATTTTTACCTATGATGCCTAGGTGAGAAAGGCTTGTGAATCTATAATGGTAGAATAGGGAACTAAGATTTTAGGCCTTAAAATCTGTTGGAAGAGTTTTTCCTAGTCCCCAAAAGCAGCTACTGTAATGAAAATAGGAGAAAATACAGAGCTGATGGTTTTGCTATTGTGCTTAAAAAACTAGGCTTCCTCAGTGAAGCACCTGATAAACTTAGGTGGTTGGATTACAGTGGAAAGTCCACTTTACACACACACACACACACACACACACACACAGAGGCGACTTTTTCCATCCCCAATCCCTGCACTGCTGAGACACAAAATGGGTTTTTATGGCAAAGGATCCTTAATCCCCAGAGACGCTTTGGCTTGTGGTGCTTTTTTAAGGCCTCTCTGCCCTGCCCAGTACCATGGGTCAAATGAGGGGTGTATAAAAATGGGGGCTTTGGGAAGCCTCCACGGTACAGGGCCACAGGCCCCTCAGATGTGAACGTGAGACACCCACCCAGCGAGACCTTTACACAGGGAACTTAAATCTAACCTTGATAAATAAAACCAAACGTTTATTTACACCAAAGAATTCCAACACTGGATCTTTCACATATGAAGGACAAAGTATTATATATATACACACAGCAAGGGGTGGCAGGGCTGTAACAAGAGAGTTTATAGTTTTCCCACAATTACAGGTCTACCATTTCTGTTTCATTGGAGATAGTGGCTCTGCTCCCCCCTCTCAGATACATTTACAGGACGAGGAGCAGTCTTCTCACTAGATGGCATGTGAGGGAAGGGGAAGGCAGGAGGAAAGGAAGGTAGAAAACTAAAGTGAAGCTCCCTGTGGCCACATCTCCCATTTGCTCTCAGAGTTGCTAGCATGAGACCTATATAGAGAACGTCTCTTTTGTAAAAAGCAGTAAGTTATGCCCAGGAACTAACTGAATTCAAAATGGCCAAGTCAAAGAAAACTGACAAATAGATATATTTGCCTTCCCCCTCCTACCAGCTAGTGGAGCACAGCATGTTGGAGATGAAAGGAGAAAAGACTAAGGTAAGGAGCCTGGAAGGGAAAGATCACAATTCTGAACTAAACTAAAACGAAAATGATAACTGAGTTGGATTCAAGGTTAGGTCAATAAGACATGATTCATACTGAACAGAAGTGTGTGGGATCTGCCTGCACTTCGGGTAGATTTGCCATCGTCAGTATAGCCTCCACCAGTCAGCAGGCTGGCCCTGCAGAAGCACTTGTGGGGTCAAGAGATCTAAAGGACTACAGTGCAGGGTCCTCCCTGCCTCCTTCCTTCCCGCCTCCCTCAAGAAGCTACATTTGTGTAATCTCTGGAGAAGAGCACGAGATATGACCCCCAAAAGCATGGGACAGTGGGGGAGCATTGGTGGGGATGGGAAGAAACCTCCACCCAAACGCAGCAGCCAGGAATGAGGCTGGTTCATCTTTGTTCTTTAGTAATGAGGAACTGAATTTGGGACGGGAAAAAAAAAATTTGTCTGTGAAATATTCCACCTGCAGGTAATTTTTCAGGGAATCCCCTGAGTTATGAAAAGTTCGAGTTAAAAAAGGAAAAAAAAAGAAAAAAAGAAAATCAGCCTATTATATTTTTTTTTATGACTGAACTACTATAAATCCACAAGCAACGGTTCAGACACGGTGCTTCTGAAAGTGTCTCACCCCTCCCTGCCAGGCGCAAGCTGCATCAAGGAGAGGGTGGACTTCCCCACCTCTGCTCAGGCATCAGGAGACAGATGGGGCCATTACTGCTGAGCGCCAGCGGCAGCTGGAACTGGCATCCCCAGGGGGTTGGCAGCAGCAATCACTGGTGAGCCTGCCAGAGGTCCGAGAGGTGAAGGGGTTGGCACTGAAGAAATCCCTGGAAGAAAAGAGCTGAGAGTGAGCCACAGACACCAACCATGACAACCTCAGTCAGCAGTTTTTCAGAGTACTTATCCTAAAAGTAACACAATGACAATTGTTTCTTTATTGACGCTTCCTCTCAGCCACATGTGCATAAACACTTCAAGTCTAATCCTCACAAATTCAAGTTAAAACAACAAATCCTAATGAGTTTGGGAAACAGGTAAAGAAATCTAAACTTAGAGAAGCTGAGCCGTTTGTTCAAGGTATATGACTCCCCAGTTGTGGCTATGCTTGGATTCCAACTCAAGCCTGTCTAGGGCAGCACTGTCCAACAGAATGTTCTGTTCTGCTATCTGCTGATGTGGCTGCTGAGCACTTGAAATGTGGCTAGTGCAATGGAGTTATTAAACTTTTAATTTTATTCTGTTTTAACTAAATAGCCAACCAGCACACAGAACAGCACGGACCACAGTCAAGGCTCATGCACTGTTATACCACACTGCCTTGAGAGCTGGCAGCTTTTAAAACTGCTAAGTGGGGGAAAGGATCACTTCCCACCTATAAGCTAAAACTGTGCTTTTGAATTTATTTCCATTTGGTTTCTTCCTACCTACCAGAATTACCTGTTAGTTTGCCTTCAATCGGTCAGTATAGAATTTATATATATAGGGCCGGCGCCGTGGCTCACTAGGCTAATCCTCCGCCTAGCGGCGCCGGCACACCGGGTTCTAGTCCCGGTCGGGGCGCCGGATCCTGTCCCGGTTGCCCCTCTTCCAGGCCAGCTCTCTGCTGTGGCCAGGGAGTGCAGTGGAGGATGGCCCAGGTGCTTGGGCCCTGCACCCCATGGGAGACCAGGAAAAGCACCTGGCTCCTGGCTCCTGCCATCGGATCAGCGCGGTGCGCCGGCCGCAGCGGCGGCCATTGGAGGGTGAACCAACGGCAAAGGAAGACCTTTCTCTCTGTCTCTCTCTCTCACTGTCCACTCTGCCTGTCAAAAAAAAATTTTATATATATACACAAACACCCACATATTTTTTTATAAGTAATACAGTGGTCTTCCTAGTGAATACTTGAAACCATGGGTGCAGCTCAATTCACAAGAGCTAAGATATGGAATCAACCCAAATGTCCATCAACTGAAGATTAGACTCTCCCTGATCTGTGATAACAAAGAACGTAAAAGGTAATCTACAGAAATGAAACTGACACTTTGAGATGTGATGATTTTGAATAGCCCTTGTATTGACTGTTAAGGAACACTTTTTTTTCATACTATCTGTCGAACTCTTTACTTAGTATAGAATTAATCATATGTATAAAGTTAACTGAAAATAGATCTTAGTAAAAAAAATAAGAATGGGAATAGGAGAGGGAGAAGGAAGAGGCGTTGAGGGTATAAGTGGGAGGGTGAGTATGGTGGGAAAAATCACTATGTTCCTAAAGTTGTACTTAGAAATGCATGAAGTTTGTATCCTTTAAATAAAAGGTTTCTGAGGGGGAAAAGAAAAGAAACCATGAGTAGTAAACTGAATCCTAGATAGATTACACTGTTCCCTTTATATAAGTATTTATGATAAAATTTATAAATTAGGCACAGTAATCAATTATTAATAATAAACCAAAAAATTATAACACTGCATAAAAGTTACATGACTGTGTCTTTTTCTTGAGAGTTAAATATTAGCATTTTTGGACCCTAGTAGACTACAGTAACAGAAAACTTAGAAAAGGAAACCACAGGTAAGGAGAGGCTATACTATTTATAGGGCGCAAACAGAAAAGGTTCCAAGGAGCATATAAGCGAGAAATCTCCCCTGCCCTGTCACTAGGCCAACTTACAGCACCACTTTGGGAGGGTTTATCCTTCTAGATATTTTATGCACATATTTGAATATAGATTTTTATGACATAAGACTGTGCATGTAAGAATCATATAAGAACATGATTATACATTCTTGCTCACTCCTATTCATGGATATGGTTCTGCATTTTTCTTCTCCCCCTGTATTTCACACTATCTTGGGGTCTGAGCTCTCAGAGAACATGAAACACTTAAGTTATTCTTTCCTCTGGCCTCACCATGTTCTATTGAATGAAATACACCATACTTAACCAGTTTGCTACTGAGAGATGTGTTCAATGTTTCGCTATTATAAGGCTCTGAGTGACCTTGGATATACATCACTTTGCACATAGTCAAGATACCCAGGGGATAAATTCTAAAAGGCAGCTAATTCCTTAAAAAAGAAATGGAAAAACAGTATTTTTTACTATCACAAGTGCACCCACTTAAGATGCTGCCTACCTTAGAATTTTTTTTTCTTTTTCCTTTGGACAGTGAGTAAAGAAAGATTTACTGAAAGCATGAAATCTGCTGTCGCAGCAGTCAGGGGCGGGGCTCCGAGGGAGGAGCTGCCTGGGGAAGCCTGTGGATACTGGCTCCTTTCACGCACGTCATTATGTGGCTGCCTAGATTTCACCAATCAAGAGAGGAGCTGATGACCTATAAAAGTACCTATAAAATTCCAGGACCTGTGGTTTCTGTAGGATATTTATATACGCCACACAGAGATGTACTAGTGTCATGACACAACTCAACCATTATGAAAAACAATTTCATATAAATTTTTACAATTTACTACATATACTGTAGTTGCTCTGGCAAAGATCCTTTTACACATTCAAACCTATATATAAACATAAACCCTCATCAATGCCCCAATTTCATAATCTTGCTTCTGAGAACTATGTAACTACTGTGAGATGAAAAGTCTCTTTTTACTCTTCATGGCTTGCTGAGACTTTCAAGTCCTTCTGCAAGAAATATTCAGTTAGGGATGCTCAGATTCTGACCTAGAAGAGAATGCTGAAATACTTTAGACAGTGTCACAGAAGTACACCAGGAGTCAAAAGCACCTGAAACCTGGAGGGAAAAGCCACATAGGCTAGTGTGCTATGAAGGCAATCATTACAAAGAAGAGAAGCTACACACAAATCAAGTCACATAAGGGGCAAACTCAAGGACAACAACTCACTTTGATTGACTGATTTATCTTTAAAGGCGGATTCACCAGTGTACTCACCTGACATCATATTGGCGCTGCTGACAGGTGTGCTGCCCCCTGGCATGCTAGAGGAACCCATGCGAGCCTGGTCCTTCACAACAGTATCTGGAAAAGAGACAAAGCGGCTAGCTTCTGTTTTGCTTGAAGGATTAAACTAATGGGCTAGAGTCTGAAAGTAGCCAGCTTTACAGATTCTATGCATTTATTTATAAACCATACTTGCATTATTCCTAAAATAATGCAAATGCCTTCAGGATAAATTAGACAGACAGTATAAAATGGAAATATCTTTCCTGTCAAACTGTGGTACACACCAATCTTAGTAGGAAAACGAGGTAGTTATTCACCACAGAGTCCATTTAAACTGAAGACGATCCTGCTAGGGTTTAATGGAGACGGCACCCTCAAACCTGGTCAAGATGATGATAACATCATCAGAGTGACCTGGTTTTAGTGGTCCTTAGCCCAGCTGGGCAGAGCATGGTAGCAAGGAGGCAAAAGTGACAGTTCTGTGTAGGTTTTCATCAGGACTACAACCCCACCCTGCATCCCACACAGCCAATCTACTTCAGGCACAGGACAGTGAGCCAACGGACGCACTACAAAACCCCACCACTCCCCAAGAACAACTTAATATCGATTAAACTAACATCACAGTAAGGACAGGGTCTCCAAGTAACATGCTCACTCAGGATGGCAGTTAGCTGCAGTCACTAACCTAAGTCAAGGTTTTCATACACTATCCAGATTTGCAAGCTCACTGGCAATCTCCAACAAATAACTGCCAGAGACAAGATGGATAAAGTACTGTTTGTTCTAATTCAACAACTCCAGACCAGCAACTCAGAATCATCACCCACACTAAGAAAGCTTATTTAGGAGTGCTTATGTGTCACACACTGTGTTACACAAGAATCCTTCCAACAATTCTGTGAGATAGCAACCGTTGCTATCCCTGTTCCCACCTGAAGAAAAAAAAAACATTTTCTTTTTTCAAAAAGAATTATTATTTATTTATTTGAAAGGCAAAGTGCTGGAGTGGGGATGGTGGGGAGGGAGTAACAGAAAGAGAGATCTTTCACCTGCTGGCTCACTCTCCAAATGGCTGAAACAGCCAGGATTGGGCCAGTCTAAAGTCAGGAACCAGGAATGCCATCCCCGTCTCCCTTGCGGGTTGGAGGAGCCCAAATACTTGGGCCGTCTTGTGCTGCCTTCCTAGATGCACTAGGAGGATGCTGATGTCATAAGCATTTGCTTAACCTGCTGGGACACGACGCCAGCCCTGGGTGAAGTAACTTTGAAGGGAGCTGCTGGGAACTAGCATTGCAACTGTGTTCTGTAGGACTCTGGGTTCACAGCTGTCTTCACAGGATAGATTTTCTGCCACTTCAGAGCCTGCTGGGAGATGGCAGAATGGATTGTAAGACTTACAGAAATAGGGGTGTTCCATGGCCTCCCTTGCGGTGAGTCGTGACTGGTGGTCATATCGCAGCAGCTTGTCCAGGAAATCCAAGGCCTCAGGGCTGACAAGGTGCTGGTTTTCACTGTGGACAAAGCGTTCCCATCGCTTACGAGAGTGCCTGTGGGCCAAACAGGGGAATGAGAAATGGGCCACAGGGTAGAGAAGCCCAACAGAACATTCTTTCTTTTTTTTTTTTTTTAAAGATTTATTTATTTATTTATTTGCAAGTCAGAGTTACACAGAGAGAGGAGAGGCAGAGAGAGAGAGAGAGAGAGAGAGTGAGCGAGAACGCGCAAGTGAGGGAGGGAGAGGTCTTTCATCCGATGGCTGACTCCCCAACTGGCCACAATGGCTGGAGCTGCGCAGATCCGAAGCCAGGAGCCAGGAGCTTCCCTTGGGTCTCCCACATGGGAGCAGGAGCCCAAGGACTTGGGCCTTCCTCCACTGCTTTCCCAGGCCATAGCAGAGAGCTGGATCGGAAGTGGAGCAGCCGGGTCTTGGCATATGGGATGCCGGCTCCCCAGGCCAGGGGACATCAACCCACTGTGCCACAGCACCGGGCCCCCAACATTCCATTCTTACATTTTCCTTGGTGGCTAGGAGCCCAGCCACCAGCAAAGAAGAATCAAAAATCAAAAAGACAGTAGCCTTGTACCACTATGCCACTGGAGGGACAACAAAGGTGACTGGAGAGATTACAAATAGTAGTGGTGCAGAAAAAAAAACCCCGGGTCCTATCAACTTTGAGAAACTTAATTCCGGTTACTTTATAGGACACAAATGCCAGTGCAGAAAGGAGGGCAAGTGGCTGGGCTACACAGCCCTCCTTCCCAGCCCACACCCTCCTGACTCGACTTTGCCAGCAGAAGCCTTGCAGCGAGGAAGTCCACGCCTCCTGTGAAGTGCTCAGCATATCAGCACTGTCTCGTCACTACTGTCACAGGCAGCTGTCTACGTATCAGCCAGGAAGCATTTTCTACTTCTTTTTCTTGAAAAGGACTTCATCATTTACAAAAGGAAGCTAAATCAAGAGTGATTTTTGTCCCAATTGTAATGCTTCTACGAGAGACTTCAGTTCATTCATTTCACAGGAATCCTCTGACTATAATTCTCACACTTATACTCTATAAGAGAATTTGAGGAAATGACTACTCAGTCCACCATTTCTAACTCAGGCTTGCTAAGGCAGCACCCTGCAGCATCAGACCACTGGCATCTTGGCAGTGCTGGGACAGAGAACAGTACTGTTTTGAGGACCCAAAGCACCAGTTCATACCCAATGTGCAAAGCTACAAATGCACAAATTTTATGACTTACCTGCCCAGGATATCATTGAAACGTGGATCTAATTCAATGTTGTATTTGTCAATATAGTCATACAAATCTTCTGTCCCCAGAACCTTGGCTATCCTCACCAACTAGTATTGAAGAAAGACAAAAACCCACACCACAAGCACATTATATGATCAAATCAAATCAACCAGGACTGAATTTATAGAATACAATCATCCTATCTACATGGTCAACATTACCTCTTAAGTTTATACTTCAAATTTACGCATGTGGCAAGAGTGCATTTCCAACATAAAATTCCCTAGGTCACCTCAATTTGAGTGTCAGAAAAAGCAAACTGCATGACAACCCGGTTTCTTCCTCTTGAAATATCTCCCTAGTGGTCCTACTTTTTCCCCCCTCAAAAATCCAGTCGAAGATGGCACTTCTTTTGGGAAGCTCCCTGCGCACACTCTATTTACCCCAACTGACTTGTATACCTTGTTCCACATCTATTCTGATAGTCATGAACTCATTCACTTTCTTCTATGTTTGATTCTCTTATGAGACAGACTATGAACTACTTGAGAGGAAGGACTGTTTCTTTCTCCCCTGTATTTCTCTTCTGCAGAGCACATGATAGAGCTGCTGACTTCAACCAAATTCCAGTTGATATTCCTTGACTTATTAAAAATGACCATTGTGCTCAAAGTAAACAAGTCAACAGTACCTTCCACAAGCTACCAGAACCATTCCAGGTTCTTTTGAATGAAATGGCCCTTTGATCTTCCAGAGGAAAATGCAGCTAGTCTAAAGAAACATCATTTCTACTGCTGTACATTAACTCAATAGGTAATATCCTATTTTTTAATTTGGGTGATAATAACATGGTTGTTCACTTTACTATTATTGAGTTATATAGATGTCTTATAAAATGTTTTACATCTGTACTTCACCATAAAACAACCAATGCAAACTAAAAAAAAAATGAAAGTTGAAGGGGAGTCTAATTTCAAAAGGCTCAACTGGTAGCTCTCAAAATAACAATCTGAGGATCAATGTCAGTGGGTGGAATAAACAGTGAACTGAAACTACTGCCCACCCTTAGAGACTCTGAACTAACAGGACTCGAGGCAGGTGCAAAGCAACTGATTTTAGCAGCATCCACAGGGATTTCTAATGAGCAGGTAGATATGATCATTATTAAACATTAGGCTAATACGTTTCTTAATGGAAGCAACATATATCACCTGATCGTAATTATCATGTCCATGGAAAAATGGCTCCTTCCGGAAGATCATACTTGCCAGCATACAACCCAGGCTCCACATGTCCAAACTATAATCATACATCTGCATTAAAGAAAAATTCATGTTACCACATGTGAACCCTCAGTTCTGTATATCTTTTAAATACATAAAAAACCCTCCAAAGTCAAAACACCAATAGCATCTTCATGTATTTCCTCTCAGTCATTTCTTCTATGTATTCTTGTAAATTTAGTATTTTACTTTTTGAGATAACATTTTTAATTTACATTATAGTCAGAGGCTCAATGGCTCTGTGTACTATTTGAAAGGCAGAGTTACAGAGAGAGTGAGAGGGCAAGTGTGTGTGACAGTGAGTGAGTGAGTGAGTGAGTGAGTGAGAGAGAGAGAGAGAGAGAAATTTTCTACCCGCTGGTCTACTCTCCAGATGGCAACGCCAAGCCGAAGCTAGGAGTCAGGAGCTTCATCTGGGTCTCCCACGTAGCTGCAAGGGCTGAAGTATTTGGGCCATCATCTGCTGCATTCCCAGGCCCCTCCGTGTAGTCTTTTACTCAGCTTAAAATTAATTTTTAGGGGCCGGTACTGTGGCATAGTGGGTAGAACTGCCGCCTGCAGTGCCAGCATCCTATATGGGCGCTGGTTCGAGTCCCGGCTGCTCTACTTTCGATCCAGTTCTCTGCTCTGGCCTGGGAAAGCAGTAGAAGATGGCCCAAGTCCTTGGGCCCCTGCACCCACGTGGGAGACCCAGAAGAAGCTCCTGGCTCCTAGCTTTGATGGGTGCAGCTCCGGCCATTGCAGCCAATTGGGGAGTGAACTGGCAGATGGAAGACCTCACTCTCTCACTGCCTCTGCCTTCTCTCTAACTCTTTCAAATAAAAATAAATAAATCTTAAAAAAAAAAAAAGAAGAAATAAAATATCAGGCAGGGGCTGGCATAGTGCTGTAGTGGGTAAGCCGCCATCTGTGACACCTGTATCCCATACAGAAGCTGATTCAAGTCTTGACTGCTCCACTTCTGATCCAGCTCCCTGCTAATTGCCTGGGAAAAGCAGAAGATGGCTTCAGTGCTTGGGCCTCTGTATCCTACGTGGGAGACTGGAAGAATCTCCTGACTCCTGGCTTTGCCTGGCCTAGGTTCAGATGTTGCAGGTATTTGGAGACTGAATCAAATAGTGGGAAATCTGTCTCTTTCAAATAAAATAAAATTTTTAAAAAATAAAAATACTCAAATTGTTAGGCTATGGGAAGTTTTAATGTGTACTATTTATTCTATTACATAAATGATTCAGAATTTAATTCCTCTCTATCAGGAATGTGGGTTTTTTCCCCCACTATTTTAAGTAATGCTGTGAAGAAAAATTTTTTTCTAAAGATTTGTTTATTCCTTTTGAAGTTAAAATTACACAGAGAAAGAGATCTTCCATTTGCTGGCTTACTCCCCAACTGGCCATATCAACCAGGGTTGAGCCAGGAGCTTCATCTGGGTCTCCCACATGGGTAGCAGGGACCCAAGCACCTGGGTCATCCCCCATTGCTCTCCCAGGCCATTAACAGGGAGCTGGATCAGAAGTGGAACAGCAAGAACTCAAATCAGTGCCCATAGAGGATGCTGGTGTTGCAGGCGGCAGCTTTGTCCACAATGAAACACCAGTCCCTGTAAAGAATATTTAGTGCATTTTGAGCTTAGAGTTAAATCCTTAAAGCCCAGAAAGGGAATTTCTAGGATCAAGAGTGAAATGCTTTAAGGCATCTGATATCCTAGGGAAGTTGTTCATGAAAAGGTATTCCCAAGTTTTTAGATTTTTAAAACACTTGGTAAATCTATTATTCATTGGTCTTTTGTGTGTGTGTGTGTGTGTGTGTGTGTGCAAAGAAGTCTTTTAGGAGAAGTTGGGAATTTTGGAGAAGGTCTTCATATTAGCATATGCACAAGAGAACATTCTCAAATTAGCCCTGGAATTCCTGCTCAGAAAAGTCTCTTGAGTGTGCTTTTCCGTAAGCAAAGACCAAATGCAGATCTGCTCATACTGTACTGACATTTTGACAACAGAAGCCTCATACATTATGGTAGATGAATTAAGGTTATTCATGTTTTCATATAAAAAAGACAGCTATGAATGTGAATAAATGACATTCTCAGAAGCAGAAAATTATTATTTTTTTTTTGCAAAGTAAAGAGATGCAAAATTGTACTTGTGCTTCTCTTCTCACCTGATAGTCTACTAGTAGCTCAGGACCTTTGAAGTATCGAGAAGCAACTCGGACATTATATTCTTGTCCAGGATGGTAAAATTCAGCCAGACCCCAGTCTATTAGTCGTAGCTGAAAGGAAAAGGGGAAAAAAGAGAATAAACCAAAAGCAACTTTATTTCCTACTAAGATACCCTCATTCTGCCCTTAATTTTTTAAAAATAGCAGCGATGTCATTCTATATTAAAACACCTGATCTGACTACCTAAATCCTTTAGGGTGACAATCAAACTTCACAGCTTGACATACAACTTTCTCTAGGATCTAGTTTTATGCTCCTGTGTATTTCTAAAATTGATCATCTGATTAGAATATTCATTCAACCTGTATATATATATTCCTACTGGAAAACAACTCCTTGTCTTTTGTGATATTTAAGGAGACCCAGATGGAGTTTCAGGTTACTGGCTTTGGCCTGGCCTAACCCCCAGCTGTTGCAGCCATTTGGAAAGTGAACCAATGGGTGGAAAATCTGTCTGTCTCTCCCCCTCTCCCTTTCTAACTATGCCTTTCAAATAAATAAATGTTAAAAAAGAGAGAGAGAGCTCCTCCAGTGAACTCTTTTTTTAAAATAAATAAATTTTCTTTCTTTATTTTATTTGAAAGACATCCATGTGGATGGCTGGGTGTTAGATATGGAAGCAGGGGCTGGCGCTGTGGCATGCTGGCGCTGTGGCATACTGGCTAAAGCTACCACCTGTGGTGCTGGCATTCTATATGGGCGCCAATTCTAGTCCCAGCTGCTAAACTGATCCTCCACTTCTGATAGCTCAAATCCTTGGGTCCCTGCACCTATGTGGGAGACCCAGAAGAAGCTCCTGGCTCCTGCCTTCAGATCGGCTTAGCTCTGTCGTTGTGGCCTTTTGGGGGAGCAAACCAGCAGATGGAAGACTCTCTGTCTGAAATTCTGCCTTTCAAATAAATAATAAAGCTTTAAGAAAAAATAAAAGAAATGGAAGCAGAGCCTGGACTTGACCTCAGACATTCCAATATGGAATCCTCATGTCCTGTGCAGCAGTTTAACTGCTGTGCCAAATGCCAGCCTTAAATTTACTGATTTGAAAAGGAAAAAGAGTGACTTTGCATCTGCTGGCTCACTCCTTAAATGCCTCCAGTGGCTGGGGCTGGTCTGGACTGAAGCTGGGAGCTCAACTACCTGAGCCATCATCACTGCTTCACAGGGTCCGCATTAGCTGGAAACTGGAAACAGGAGCCAGAGTTGCAAATCAAATCCAGCTGCAACAGGGGCATCTTAACCACTAGGCCAAACACCAAACCCACCCTGCCCACTCCTAAAGAACTTTCTTTTTCTAAAAAATAAATTAATTAATTAATTATTTGAGAGGTAGAGGCAGAGAGAAACAGAGGTCTTCCATCTGCTGCTTCATTCCCCAAATGACCACAATGGCTGGAGCTGGGCCAATCTGAAATCAAGAGCTTCTTCCAGGTCTCCCACGTGGGTGCAGGGGCCCAAGGGCTTGGGCCATATTCTACTGCTTTCCCAGGCCATGGCAGAGAGTTGGATCGGAAGTGGAGCAGCTGGGATTCGAACTGGTGCCTATATAAGATGCCAGCACTGCAGGCAGCACCTTCACCCACTACTCCACAGCACTATCTCCTGCATGAAGTCTATAATTATCCAAGTAGAGCTAACCATTGCCTTCTGCCCTCTGAACTTGATATATATTTGTTTCACAGAATCTACAACTCTTTATGGTATGTTTATTTTTTACTTCTCTTTTTCAAAATGGACTGTAAGCTCCTTGAAGACAGGGGCTGTTTTAGTCACCTTGGTTAATTTTCAGAATTCAACACAATGCCTTGTATACAGGAGAAAAATGAGCAAATACTTATTATGTGAATCAAGTAAAACAACTAAGAGGAACAAGAAGGGCCAGCACTACAGTGCAGCGGGTTAAAGCCCTGGCCTGAAGCGCCAGCATCCCATATGGGCACTGGTTCTAGTCCTGGCAGCTCCACTTCCCATCCAGCTCTCTACTATGGCCTGGGAAAGCAGTGGAAGATTGCCCAAGTGCTTGGGCCCCTAACCACTTGCCCACCAGGAGGAAGCTCCTGGCTCCTGATCAGTGTAGCTCTGGCCATTGTGGTCATCTGGGGAGTGAACCAGCGGATGGAAGACTCTCTGTCTCTACCTTTCTGTGTAACTCTTTCAAATAAAAAATCTTAAAAAAAAAAAAAATAAAAAGAGGAACAAGAGGCAACCTTATTCACAATAAGGTAAAGCATAATCGGTGGGACTGGTGTTGTGGCAGAGCAGGTTAGGCTATTGCATTTAACACTGCCATCCGATATGGGTGCCAGTTCTAGTCTAGGCTGCTCCACTTCCTATCCAGCTCCTTGCTGATGCACCTGGGAAGGCAGTAGAAGATGGCTTAAGTATCAGGGCCCCTGCACCCATATGGGAGACTTGAATGAAGCTCCTGGCTCCTGGCTTTGACCTGGCCCAGCCCTGTCCATTGCAGTCATTTGAGGAGTGGATCAGTAGATGAAAGACATCTCTCTGTAATTCTGCATTTCAAATAAGTGAATAAATCTTAAAAAAAAAAAACAAAAAATGCATGATGATTTAGAGTGAGCAGAAGGCCCTGAGGACTACTGCCTAACTACTCTGGCGCTTGTCCATGTCCCAAACGAAACCTCTGTGGGGCAAGTGCTGTGGTGTAGCTGGTAAAGCTGCCACCCTGCAGTGCCAGCACCCCATATGGGCGCTGGTAAGAGAACCCGGCTATTTCACTTGCGATCTAGCTCTCTGCTATAGCCTGGGAATGCAGTGGAAAATGGCCCAAATCCTTGGGCCCCTGCACCCATATAGGAGACCTGGAAGAAGCTCCCGGCTCCCGATCAGCGCAGATCCAGCCATTGTGGCCATCTGGGGAGTAAACCAGTGGATGGAAGATCTTTTTTTCTCTCTCTCTTTTTTTAAAGATTTTATTTGAGAGTTAGAGTTACAGACAGTGAGAGGGAGAGACAGAGAGCAAGGTCTTCCATCCGCTGGTTCACTGTCCAAATGGCCACAATGGCCGGAGCTGCACCGATCTGAGGGCAGGAGTCAGGTGCTTATTCCTGGTCTCCCATGCGGGTGCAGGGACCCCAGGACTTGGGCCATCTTCTACTGCTTTCCCAGGCCACAGCACAGAGCTGGATTGGAAGAGGAGCAGCCTAGACTAGAACTGGCACCCATATGGGATGTCAGCGCCACAGGCCGAGGATTAACCAAGTGAGCCACAGCACTGGCCCCAAGATCTCTCTCTCTTTACCTGTATCTGCCTCTCTGTAACTCTGCCTTTCAAACAAACAAACAAACAAACAAAAAACAAACAAAAAAAACCGCTGGTCATTTGCCTACAAAACCGGCTCTATGCAGTCTCCCACTTCTCAGCTCATCTGGTCCCATTCATGACATCATTCCAGCCAAACGATTCACCCTAGAGAAGCCAGCACTGTGCACAGCAGGTAAAGCTGTCACCTGTGATGCCCACATCCCATATGGGTTCCAGTTTGATTCCGGCTGCTCCACTTCTGATGCAGCTCCTTGTTAATGCGCCTGGGAAAGCAGAAGAGGATGGCCCAGATTTTTGGGCCTCTGCACCCAACTGGGAGACCTGGAAGAAGCTACTAGCTTCCTGGCTTCAGCCTGGCCCAGCCTAGGCTGTGGCAGCCATTTGGGGAGTGAAACAGTGGATGGAAGACCTAACTCTACCTTTCAAATAAAAAAATAAATCTTAAAAAAACAAAGAAACAAAGATTTACCTTGGTCTCTCTCTCTCTTATTTTTTTTTTGAAAACTAGTTTGTGATAAGGCTAATGCTTGTTTTTTTTTTTTTTTTCCTTTTTTAAAGATTTATTTATTTTACTTGAAAGTCAAAGTCAGTTACACATAGAGAGGAGAGGCAGAGAGAGAGGAGAGAGAGAGAGGTCTTCCATCCGATGGTTCACTCCCCAATTGGCCGCAATGGCCAGAACTGCGCCGATCTGAAGCCAGGAGCCAGGAGCTTCTTCCAGGTCTCCCATGCAAGTGCAGGGGCCCAAGGCCTTGGGCCATCTTCTACTGCTTTCCCAGGCCATAGCAGAGAGGTGGAGCAGCCGGGTTCTTGTACCGGTGCCCATATGGGATGCCAGCACTTCAGGCCAGGGTGTTAACTTGCTGCGCCACAGCGCCAGCCCCTACCCTAGACTCTTAATTCTCTCACACCATTTAATCTGTCAATGGATCCTGCTGATTCCACCATTACTCTGACCATTATCATCACCTCTACCTGCCACCACCACCACCATTCCTGCCTGCCTTACAGCAGGTAGCTCCTTTTCCTAACTGGTCTCCTTGTTTTCACTCTTGCCCTGTATTTCCTATACAACAACCAGAATGACCCTTTTAAAAAGCTGACTATTTCAAATGATTATACTCACAGAAGCTGCAAAAATAGTATACAGGGCCTACATACCCTTCACCCAGTTTCCACCAATAGCAATACCTTACATAACTAGAGTACAGTATCAAATCCAGGAAAACTGACTTTGGCATAATTCAGATAGAAGTTAATCAGATCTTACCAGCTTTATGTGTCCTGTAAAACTGAAATTTTATCCCAGGTATAGATTCATATAACCACTACAATATATAGAAATATTCCAGCACTACACAAGTATCCCATGTAGTTTCCCAACCCCTGGTAACCTCTGTTCTTTACTGCTCTAATTCTGTCATGGTGACAATGTTACATAAATGGGATCATTACCATATAACATTTTCTCCTCCAGCAGCACTGACAGAGTTGAAACCTGACTTTTTGAGAGTACTTCTGTTATACTCAGCATAAGATCTAAGTTGTTGCATACAGCTACAGTTCTCTTACTGCTGAGTAATACTACCCATAAAATACTACTACATGATATGGATTAAACACAATTTAACCATTCGTCCATTAAAGAATTTTTTTTTTCCTTCTAACTTTGGGCCTTCACAAATGAAGCTGCATTCATGTCTAAGTTCTTGTGTTGACCTAAGTTTTTGTTTTTTTGGTGTAAATGTCACTGCTGAATTGTTTGGTAACCTATGTTTAGCTTTCTAAGAAACTGAAAAACTAAAAACAATAATTTGGCATTTCCAAAACATCCAATTTTATATTCCCACCGGCAATGTGAGAGATCTTAAGCTTCTTCACATCTTTGCAAGCATGCAGATAAATTCAACCTGTCAGCCCATCACTCTACCTTTCTGTGTTCATGATCGATCATGACATTGTGGGGCTTCACATCTCTGTGCATAATTCCCATGCTGTGGCAATAATCCAAGGCCTGTGGGAGGAACAGGGAAGGAAGGAGAGAACCTGTGTAAGAGCAGCTTATTTTTTTACAGTTATTCAAAGTATTTCATTTTTTCTTTCATGTAAATTTTCTTCCTAGCCTCACAGTATCCCTAGGAATCTGTAATAGGACATTCACTCACACAGCTATTCTTCATTTTCTTGTTTAAGATTCCATAGCCAAGCAAATTCAAGTTTTGTTCAAAGACACAAAATATACACTGATGGCACCACTTCCAATTTTTCCCTCTGATTCAAAGCCTAGATTATTTTCACAGACACAGGTCCTTCAACAAAAGAAAACTTTTCTGTACTACATGCCTCTTATTTGAAGAACAGTAATTTTTTTTTTAGCAGTCAAGAGTCTACAATGGAGAGTGCAAGCTACCACCCACTGGCCAAACCTGGACTACTGCCTGTTCCTGTGAAGCTTTTACTGGAACACAGCCACATCTATTTGCTTCCATATTGTCTCTGAGGCTTTCATGCTATAAGAGCAGAGCTGAACAGTGTGACAGACGCTGTGGCTCAAAGAGCCACACACACACCCTTTAAAGAAGTTCGCCAACCCTGTATTTAGGTCATGAAATGCAATTTGAAAAGTTTCCATTCTTAAACTAAGGTGAACTGAGTGGCATAACCTTTGGGGTTTATTAATCACTCAACTAATGGCATTAGCCAAATTCTTGTCCTTCCCGAAGGACAACTTGGATTCCTACAGCTCCCGGGTCTAAGCAGATACATTCATAACTTTCTGAAGCTCTGTAACCATAGACTGCATAAGGCAACAGAAAGATCAAATCTCTGTTAGCATAATCTCTTTAAGGTATTTCTAAGGCTCAAATAGCAGGCTTTATATGTCAACCCTTGCTTAGTAAGAAACTGTAACAACTCTTATCAATTTTCTAAAAATCAGATCTTGTGACGACTAGGAGCAAGATATTTGGCGATCCCACTTTAGAAATCAAAGTCCACCCTCAATCAGCAATGCCTAAGCAGAGATTTATACAGTCCTTGGGGCAATGACCCTTTGAGGGCTGAGTTAAAGTTTACCAGTTTACTTATTGAATTGTTAAGTGAAATGAAGTATTTCAATAGGGGTTGTTTTATAAGCTTTGACAATTCACTTTCCACTTACAAAGCTAAACAATGGAAATTACAAACATTTGTTAAGAGGTCAGATTCAAATCTTTTTCAAAATATCCTTTTCAAAGCATGTGAGTTATACTCCTATTAGACCCATCTGTTAGGACAGAGTTCTAATACTTCTAATAGTAAAAACTTGCATGTGGAGATCCCTCTTTCAACAGACTTTACAAAGTTAATTCACTGGCTTTTTCACCATCAACTGGGCTGTATTAACAAAGACAAGATCAAATTAAAGATATTTAGTATTGAAGGTTCCCTTACCTTCAGAATCTCATACATGTAAAATCGAATATCATAGTCTGTTAATGTCTGGTACAATTGCTGTTAAAGACAAATGAAACATTTAAGTCATGGAATAATACTGACAGGAAGACTATTTCCCATTCTTATTGGTAGTAATTTAAAACAAGACTTGGTTCACTGGCCATTGTTTCAAGATCTGTTCACTGGTCTCTATTTCTCTAACATAATGTTCACTTCTTGGGTCTTCAATGCCACATATAACAGTGAAGAATTACTGACATTCAACTTGCTTAAGCTAAAGTCTACTGCTGGGAACACACTAGATTCTGTTACATGCAACATGTACTGGTAACCCACAATTCCCCCTGCTTTCCATTACCTTTAGACCTTTTCATCAAAGGCATCTTGACACGTACGTAGCCTCCTTAGAAGGGAACCAACCCATAACCCACCTGTGACTTAGACAGTTAGCATTACAGATTACCAGTGAGTATGCAGATGGCATCATGCCAAACCTGGTTAGCCAATGTTGAAAGTAAACTTTGTGAACAACAGTTATGCATGTTTTTTCTAAATTGTTAGCAGTGTTCCCACACAAAGTTTTTAAGTTATCATTCTAATTCCAAAATAGTTCTTCTTCCTTTTTTCCTCTTCTCAGCCAAATAATTTACTCATTTATTGATATTTGATATTCTAGATACTGAAGAGGTGTAAAGCTACGTCAAGAACCTTTACAGCTTATATTCCAGGAGTGCCTACAGTTTTCTGTTAACACTGGAATGAAAACTATTTGAAGTAAGGCGGCAATGGATGGATAGGGATTCAGAAACATGTGCTGTAGAGGTTTGTGTTACAGCAGAATTTGACATCCTTCCCCACTCCCCCCTTTTAAAGAGCTGTGACCCATAATTTCTGAGGTATCCTAAGGAATAAACAGTCTACACTATTAGACACACAATACGCTCCTTCTTGAACACTGTGGTTTTACAGTAAATGGTCATAGGGTCAGATCTTAAGTGAACAGGTGTTAGTGCCTTCATTAGGTTAGACAACTGTCAAATGAGTAGAAACTGTCAAATGAGTAGTAAAGGTGGTAAAAGGTAAACACACTGGTCAATATAACAAGTGCTGAACAACTAACATGGCAAAGTGTGCACTACCTCGTAAAGGAGTTTTACTATCCTAAAACTAAAAAACATGGGACCGGCATTATGGCACAGTGGATTAAGCTACCACTTGTGACACTGGCATCCCCTAGAACAGTGCTGATTTGAGTCTCAGCAACTCTGCTTCCAATCCAGGTTCCTGCTAATGCACCTAGGAAAGCAGCAGATGGCCCCAAGCACTTGGGGCCTCTGCCAACCATGTGGGAGACCAGGATGGAGTTCCTGGCTCCTGGCTTTTTGGCCTGGCCCAGACCTAGATGTTGTGGCATTTGAGGAGTGAACTAGTGTCCAGAAGATCTGTCTCTCTCCCTTTCAAATAAATAAATCTAAAAAAAATTTAATAACATCAGAATGAAACCGTCTTTTCTAACTAACAATATCATCTCCAAAGGCTTTCAATGTGGCCTAAAATCCCAACAGCTTGAAATGGCTGGTTAGATATACCTTGAAGTCTGTGTTGTTTACGTGTTCAAAAACCAAGGCAGGGGTTCGTGACTAGGGGAAAGAAAAAGAAAACACACATTAGTAATAGCCCTGGGCAGGTTTAATGGGCACAATGTTTGCGGATGCTGCGTGGTAAATTTGGCAGTCCTCGCCTCACTTGTAAGAAACCCTCTATAATGCTACAAGCCCTCCCCACTCTCATCATCACCACACTTAGGTCATTTTTGGGATGGATTTCAAACAGAAGACATGGAGCTGAAGTCTCACCAGGCTCTAGGCAGCCCGACAATGCGCCCATCGCCCATCGGCATCGGACCTGAGTTTGCAAAATGGATTAACACATTTCAGTTTCCAGTGCTATCAGTCTCTTAGCCTAGAAGAATAAGAAATAGTCTGTGGGTGGAGGTCTCTTTGAAAGAAAGACCCAAGCTAGTTAAATGGTATATCTGATTAAGCACTTTTAAAGCAGGACTTAATGGTGAGGGCGGGAGAACAGAAAGAGGCCAGCTGAGCTCCAGGCTAAACAAACTCAGCCCTGGTGGGCCTTGCTAACAGCTACTATACTCACCACAGGGTCTTTGACAATGTCTGCCAGTGTAATGATGTTGGGTCCTCCTCTCAAATTCTCCAAAATCTTTATTTCACGCTTAATTTTCTTCTTTTTTACTGGCTGAAAGGGGAAAAGTATTATCGGCAAAAAAATTTAAAAATAAAATATCAGAATATTTCGACAGGGAATGTAACACATAAATGGCCTACTTATGAGCTCCTTGAAGGAAATGTGTCATACTTTTCTCTGAATCCCCTTCTCCTAGCACTGTGCCAGGCATTCTGTAGGCACTTACTAAAGTTGAATTAAAGGAAGAAAAATTTCCCACTCCAAAGACAAGAGTATCTCAGAATTAGCATTTAATTTCAATCACTAGTCTTAGTATGTTAACATTTTAAAAGCTTACAGCTAGTCATTTAAAATGGTTAGTAATACTAAAGTACATCTTGAAAAGCTTTCTATCAACTAGGATAGAACACAGACCCTTTCCACTCCTTCCTCTGAGTCTATAAACTAAACTCCCTACAGAGGAGAAGGCAATCAGGTCCAACCACAAGGATGGCCCAATCAGCTCTGCACAGCATAGCCTTGTGGGGAAGTACAGATCTTGGAGTCAGACCACCTAATGAGGATCCTACCTTCACTACCTGCAACCTGTGTGCCTACAGACAATTTGTAACTTCTCCAAGACTTCCATGACATGTAAAATGAATAATGAGAATACATATAAGATTGTTCAAGAGTACAATGAGGTATCTGAACAGACCTCTGGATAGGCTGAGACATGACACACTGTAATATCTGTCTAGTCTCACCACCAGTACTTCTCCACTCTAAAAAACACTACCCTGCAGGGTGCCTAGAGTACATATTTCACATTCCTTTGTCCTCATCCATTCTTCCCACATTTGTTCTAGTATAGAATATTCCTTCTCATTTCCCTGAGAAGGGCCTTGGTGCAGATATTCCTTTCACCAAAACTCCTTTCTGAATAGTCTAAAATAGTTCAGGCTCACAAGAAATGTGATGCAAGCCACAAGTGTGATTTTAAATAATCAAGTAGTTACATCAGGAAAAGAATAAATATCCATTTTAATATATTTTAACTAATGTATCCAAAATCTTACCATCCCTTTAAATACATAAATCAATATAAAAATTATCAACAATGATCTATTTGATATTCTTCTCTGGCACTGATTCTTTGAAATTTAGTGTATTTTCCTCTCCTTGCATAATCTCCTTTTTGCCATCTTGGTACATTCTAGAGAATGCTTCCCTTCTCCATCCCACCTGTATCTATCCAAATCCTCCTCCCATTTAGTTCATGGAGTCTTTCCTACCTACTACGTTCTTTTGGACTACAAACTCACAATCTGTGTATTTCATGTGGCTTTAAATAATATTATCACTTCATTCTATCATCCATCTTTCCATATGAATACCATCCTACAATTACAAAGAACTTTACTTTTTAGTTAACAATTTTTAAAAAGTTCTCATTTATTTATTTGAAAGGCAGGAGAAATGAGAGAGGGAGGGAGAGGGGAGGGGAGAGGGAGAGAGAATCTTCCATCTGCTGGTTCACTCCACAAATGCCAGCAACAGCCATGTCTAGGCCAGGCTGAAGCCAGAAGTCTAGAACTCATTCCAGGTATCCTATATGGGTGGCAGGGAGGCAAACATTCCAGTCATCATCTGCTGCCTCCTAGAATGTGCATCACCAGGAAACTGGATCAGAAGTGGGCTAGGACTCAAACTCAGGGATTCCAACATGAGGTGCAGAAGTCTCAAGCAGCAACTTGAACCGCTGTGCTGAATACCCAAGCAGACTAGCTCCTCTGATGTTTCTATATATAATTTGTATTTGATCCTTCTAATAACCCTGAGGAAGGTAAGTAAAGCAAAATTGCCTCATTTTCACCGATGAACAAAGGTATCTTAATAAAAGGCCTGACTGCCATGGCTAATTACTTTTGGGTTAAAACCCAAGTGTTCTGATTTGTAGCCTAGTTCTTCTACGTGTGACAAACCAGGCATCCCAGGATATTCAAAGGGATACAGCAGAATACTTTAATTTCTGAACACACAAAGCAATATCTGCCATACACTGATACACTACCAGCTTGGGCTCACAGTTTTAATATTAGATTGCACTAAAATCCTTTTGAGGGGATATTGTTTCAAAAAGCAAGTACTGAGGAAAAAGGTACATGAAATAATCAATAAGGATAGTGTCCAATTTGATTCCAACATTTGAGAAGATGTACAGTGACTATCAAGTATACATATCGCAATACTTATTATTTATGGTTATATAAGAATAATTTTGGGGACTATTGTGGTACAGCAGGTTAAGCCACCACTTGGGACGTCCACATCCCATATCAGAGTGTCGGTCAGAGTCCGGGCTACTCCACTTCTGATCCAGATCCCTGGTAATGTGCCTGGGAAGCAACAGACAGTGGCTCAAATACTTGAGTCCCTGCCATCCACATGGGAGACCTGGACAAATCCTGGCTCCTAGCTTTGACCTGGCCCAGCTCCACTACTACAGTCATTTGAGGAGTGAATCAGCAGATGGAAGATCTGTCTCTCCCTCTTTATCACTATGCCCTTTAAATAAATAAAGCTTCAAAAAATAATTTTTAAAATTTAAACATATAACTTAATTTTTTACAGGTAGAGTGAACAGTGAGAGAGAAAGACAGAGAGAAAGGTCTTCCTTTTCCGTTGGTTCACCCCTCAAAGGCCACTGTGGCTGGCGCGCTGCTGCCAGCACACCGTGCTGATCCGAAGCCAGGAACCAGGTGCTTCTCCTGGTCTCCCATGCTGGTGCAGGGCCCAAGGACTTGGACCATCTTCCACTGCACTCCCGGGCCACAGCAGAGACCTGGACTGGAAGAGGAGCAACTGGGACTAGAACCCGGGTTTTGAAATGGCTACCATGTTACTAAAATAGAAATTACTGAGACAATCTAAGTATGGAGATTGAGGAAATCTGAGAACTTCTACTTCTCACCATCAAATATGGAAAAATTCCCATAGTAAGAAACTATATACTAAATTCCCAATACATGACAACACATAGTGCAGTTATACTTTAACTACAAGTTGTATACTGGTAGCTTACTGCACAAATTTGTCCAACGCGGTGTTTTTAAAAAATCTTGAGCCAATGTTTAAAAATCAACGGAATTCACATATAAATATAAATCTCTGACTTCTCTTTGAAAAATAGAATATCAAGCACGACAGAACTCGTACTACTGCAATACAAATGTTTTGGAATCAAATTGGTTAGCACTACCCAACACCAACTGTTGCAGCCATCTGGGGAGTGAACCAGAGGGTGAAGACCTCTCTCTCTGCCTCTGTAACTCAGAAAGAAAGGAAGAAAGGAAGAAAGGAAGAAAGGAAGAAAGGAAGGAAGGAAGGAAGGAAGGAAGGAGGAGAAATCTTAACCAAAAAAAGGGGGGGGGGCACATGTGCTTTCTCTCTGTTCACTTCCTCTAGGCAGGGTTATTCATATACCACACTAGCTTGACTCATGTCATCTGCTTGCCCCTTTAGGAACTATAATTGTGACTCATCATTCTTACAAAGCAGGGGTGATGATTTATTTATTGAACACAAAACATGGGATATAGTTTAAAATACAGGGAATAAATTATTAGGCAAGACCTAGAAGAGACTATACTTTTATTCCCTTACTCTGCCATAACCTAGCACATGACTTGAGTCACATCACTTCTTTTGCCTCAGTTTCCTGATCTGTCAAACGAATAAAACCTGTTCTACTGACTTCACAAGATGTAACAGAATAAAGATGCCAAAGTACTCCAGAAATCCTTCAAACATTTCTAAAGACATCACTATTACTTTTAACAATCTACATTCCAAATGCCTCTCAAATTAGTCTTTCTCTTCTTGTACTCACCTTGAGAATTTTAACAACAACTTTTTCATTATTTGTAATGTTGATGGCTTCAAATACTTCACTATATTTACCCCGGCCTAATTTTCGAACCAGTTGGTAGTCATCTTGATTTCTATGGACAAAAAAGGTCACAGTCACATGATTTAAGAAGTTCGTATTATCAAGTACCAATTCAAGACAAAACTCTAGTATCAACTGGAGTAATAGAAATAATGGCTTGTATTAGGGTTTGCTTGTCTTCAATAAGATACCTTTCCCTTAAAGAATAGTTTTATATTTTCCTGTCTAATAGTGCCTGGCATGAAGCTGGCACTCAGCAGGAACTCAATACATGAATATTTCAGTTCAGCCACATTTTGAGAACAGCTGATTTTTAATGGATCTCTCTGTAGGTAAGTAGCCTTCAAATATATAGGCTCCATCTCCCTCTTACCCTCCAGGGCAACCTCTCAAGAAAATCCGTGTAATAAAAATTGCAAACCATATTATATAACACAAATCATCGTTAGGGGTTGCGTCCTCTCCACTTTTACCCATAGCTCATGATCAATAACATCAGAAGTAATAAACAGAGGTAAAGAATAAGAAAACAACCAACATTTTCCTACTGCCCTGGCAACTTAAAACACTCTGCTCCAAAGAATGAAAAACCTGGTTCCTTTAATAGGAAGCTCTTAGTTCTAGTTGAGTTTTCCTCTTGTGGGAGGGCACTGAAACACAAGCAACCAAGTGAGACCATATCGAAAATTCTCACAGTTGTTTAGCACCATTGAAGCAGAACTAAGTACCCAGCACTCAATCTGAAGACAATGCTGAGATTTCTACAGTAAACATAGGTGTTACTAGGAGTCCAAAGTGTCTAACACAGAGGGAAACTGGTAGATTATCAGCAGTGATAATATTTATTAATAGTGTTCAAACTGCTGTTTGATGGCATCTTTAAAGCACACCAGTACTTCTTTAGGCAGAGACAACATACTCACTGTTAAGAATCACAGCATCATCAGGATTAAAAATACACTCTATGACATTTTTGGGAGATAGTCCTTTTCAAAAAAATTTTATTTAGGGATCAGCATTGTGGTTTAGCGGGTTAATCTACCACCTGTGACACTCGCATCTCATATTGGCACACCAGCTCAAGTCTTGGCTGCCCAGCTTCCAATCTAGCACCCTGCTAACGTGCCTGAGAAAGCAACAGAAGATTGACCAAGTCCTGGGGCCTCTGCTGTTGACATGGGCAACCAGGATGGAATTCCTGACTGTTGTAGCTATTTGAGGAGTGAACCAGCAGATGGAAGATTGATCTCTCGCCTTCCCTCATTCCCTCCCTTGCTCTGTTGCTCTGCCTTTCAATTAAATAAATAAATCTTAAACAATTTTACTTATTTATTTGGGGGGGCTTATAGAAAGTGAGAATGAGAGCATGTGTCAAAGACCAGTAGCTCCCACCCATTGGTTCATTCCCTAAATATCCACAATGGCTGGGGCTAGTCCATGCCAAAACCAGGAGTTGGTGGTGCAATCCAGGTCTCCCATGTGGGCGGCAGGGATCCAACAACTCACCCCAGGAGATAGTCTTTAATCACTTACAGCCTTGGAAATCACATATAGTCAGATATGATTTACAGTATACAGGAACTGTAGATTTCTTTTTACACTGCTTTCTTTTTGCCCCTCAATGTCAAAATGCCTTTATTATAAAAAATATGATTCTGATCAATTAAATGCATACCACTTTGGAACAGGAAATGGAAATACCTAAATAAGCCTGCATAGCGAATCAGAAGGACAAACACAGCTGTTCAGGTAGCCTACAGCTGTTCAAGATGAAATTACACATGCTGCATCTCATGACGAGGACAAATGCTTAAGGATTTAATTCTGCTTCACAACAGAAGACACCTTTCTAGAGAACCGTTTCATCCTTCAGAGTCATCACGGGACAACATTCTGACCTCAGAAATACTTTATGTAAGAATTTGGTGGTGTTTTCGAAGTCTCTCAAATATCAATTCTCACCATCTGCAATGTCCTTAGCTTGAGAAGCAATTTGGTAGGTTAACTCTTCCTCACCAGCTTTGTTTACATAACATGTAAATCACAGAAAAGGACAAGAGACCGAAATGATTTTTAAATGGTAAGCCCTTCAAAACAGTTAACTTGCCAAAACAATACCTGCTTCTTTAATACAGAAACTAAAGTTTTGAAAGAACAATCTGGGCTTCGACCTTGAGGTTTACGTATGTAGTCAAGGTTTCCTGACAATTACTCAACAAATCCACAAGAGTCAGTTCTTAGGTGAGTGCAGCGAGGTAAACAGAAATAATTACCCCCATTCCACCACATGTGACTCATAATCCCAGTACTCTCGGGGTCTGTGCGTATTCACATCTGTGTAAACTCTGGCCCTGCTTGGCACGGGTCCCGACATGTCAGACAGGTTGGCGGACAAAGCTGGCTTTGATGTTTGAAGATCTGGTGGTCACTGTGTTTGGAGGCAGCTGAGGGGTAAGACCTTGTTTTCAGACCTGTCTTCTTCAAACTGCAGAAACAAAATGCACAAAGGCCAAGAATTACTTTTAAAATTCTATGGGAAGAAACAAAACATCCTTATATAAACACTAACGGTTTCCAATCTACCTCTGGCTCTCCTACCTGTTAACCAATGGATATATCTCAACTGTGTTCTACCCTAGACAAAATTTAAAAAAAAGGGGGGGGTGGGGGCGCCAGCGCTGTGGCGCAGCGGGTTAAAGCCCTGGCCTGAAGCACCAGCGTCCCATATGGGCACCGGTTAGAGATCCAGCTGCTCCACTTCCAATCTATCTCTCTATTATGGCCTGGGAAAGCAGTAGAAGATGGCCCAAGTCCTGGGGCCCCTACACCCACATGGGAGACCCAGAAGAAGCTCCTGACTCCTGGCTTCGGATCGGTGCAGCTCTGACCGTTGCAGCCAATTGGGGAGTGAATCAGTGGATGGAAGATCTCTATCTCTCTGCCTCTCCTCTCTCTGTGTAACTCTGACTTTCAAATAAATAAATAAATAAATAAATCTTTAAAAAAAGGGGGAGACAAAAAGAAATACATATACTAAAAACCATATTGTCCCTAATCATATCTGTAGCAGCCTATAACCTCTGCAGTGAATGTCTGGAATTTTTTTTTTTTTTTTTTTAATTTACTTGGAAGAGTTACAGCAACAGAGAGAGCAACAGAACACAGACAATCTTCCACCTGCTGATTCAATCTCCAAATGGCTGCAAAGACCAGGACTGGGCCAGACCGAAGCCAGGAGCCAGGAACCAGAACCAGGAGCTTCTTCCAGGTCTCCCATGTGGGTGCAGGGGCCCAAGCACTTGGGTCATCTTCCACTGCTTTTCCAGGCACATTAGCAGGGAGCTGGATCAGAAGTAGAGCAGCCAGTATTTGAACCAGTGCTCACATGAGATGCTGGCGTCGCAAGTGACAGCTTTACCAGCTAGGCCACAATGCTGGCTCCTGGATATCTTTGTAAGACAGTCTGGGAGGAAAACATGACATTGAGGACAGATGCCTCAACATTATCAAAACTAATTACATTCTACAAAAGGCATTGGCAAGACCAGCACTTTCTTTTTAGTAGCTTGCTACAGTCATGTAGGGGCTGCAAAAAATTTTCTATAATAGTAGCAAAGCCCAGAGTACGAACTGTCAGGCTTACTCTAATATTTGATGAAACCAGAAAGGGAACAAAGACTTGCTGTCATATACGAAACTTCAGTATCATCAGATCCAAATTATTTGGGGAACTCTCTGTAATGAGTAGACCCTGGAACAACCTTTTACAGACACTTGATTTCCTAAAATTTTAAAACAGCATTCAGTAATTCTTTTAAGAGATTTATTTATTTATTTGAAAGGCAGAGTTTACAGAGAGAAATGTTCTATTCGAAGGTTCACTCCACAAATGGCTGCATCGGCCAGAGCTGAGCCGATCAGAAGGCAGAAGCTGGGAGCCAGGAGCTTCCTCTGGGTCTCCCAAGTGGGTGCAGGCGCCCAAGGACTCAGGCCATCTTCTGCTGCTCTCCCAGGCACATAAGCAGTGAGCTGGATTAGAAGGGGAGCAGCCACTACCTGAACTGGCACCCTTATGGGATGCCAGCGTTGCAGGCAGCAGCTTTACCCACTACACTACAATGCTAGCCCCCAGTAGTTTTCTTTTAAAAAAATTTCTTTAAAAGATTTATACTCCCCAAATGGCTGCAACAGCCAGGGCTTGACCAAGCAGACGCCAGGAACCAGGAACTCATCCTGGTTTCCCACATAGGCAGCAGGGACACAGGTACCTGAGCCACCATCTGCTGCTTCCCCAGGTACATTAAGCAGTTAGTTGGATTTTAAATGAAGCAGTGGGGACTTGAAAATAGAATCCAGATATGGGATACCAATGTTGTAAATGGTTTAACTCACTGTGCCACAATGCCTGCCCTCTTTTTAATTTTTTAAAAAATTATTTATTTGAAAAGTGTGTGTTGGGGAATAGGTACTAATCTCGCTGTCTGTTGGTTCACTTCCCAAGTGGCTGTCAACAGCCTGTACTAGGCCAGGCCAAAGCAGGAAGCAGGTTTCCCATGCGGGTGGCAGCCATCACTTAGTATCTCCCATAGTGCATATTAAATAGGAAGCTGGATTGGGAGCAGACAGGACTCAAGCCTAAGCACTCCAATATGGGATGCAGACATCTAAAGTGGCACCTTAACTGCTGTGCCAAACAGCCCAGAAATCAATAATTTTCTCTTGGTTTATCAGAGGAGCAAGATTTTTTTTTTTTTAAAGATATATGTATTCATTTGAAAGTCAGAGTTACAGAGAGGCTTAGGCAGAGAGAGAGCTTTCCTCCATCCACTGGTTCACTCCCCAAATGGCTGCAACGACTGGAACTGAGATGATCAGAAGCCAGGAGCCAGGAACTTCCTCCCAGTCTCCCATGTGGGTTCAGGGGCACAAGTACTTGGGCCACCTTCTACTACTTTCCCAGGCCATCAGCACAGAGTTGGATCAGAAGTGGAACAGTTGGGACTTGAACAGGTGCCCATATGGGACGCTCGCACTGCAGGTGGCAGCTTTACCCATTACACCACAGTGCCAGCCCCTAGAACAGCATCACTTTAACAACTGGTATAATAATTTATTTTAGCTGAGCTAGTGTAAAATTTGACATGAAGAAAATTAATAAAATTTAGAAATATGCCTTCTATCAAATCAGTCTTTTTTAGAAAGAAGTTTTTTTTTTTTTTAATTTATTTTATTTATTTGAAAGACAGAGTTACAGAGAGAGGCAGAGATCTTCCATCCACTGGTTCACTTCCCAGATGGCTGCAACGGCCAGAGCTGTGCCGATCGGAAGCCAGGAGCCAGGAGCTTCTTCCTGGTCTTCCATGCGGGTGCAGGGGCCCAAGGACTTTGGCCATCTTCCACTGCTTTCCCCAGGCCACAGCAGAGAGCTGGATCAGAAATGGAGCAGCCAGGGCTCAAATGGCACCCATATGGGATGCTGGTGCTTCAGGCCAGGGCTTTAACCCGCTGCGCCACAGCACCGGCCCCATCAGTCTTGTTTTTGATATCTTCCCTGACTAACCCAAACTTTTTGTCTTCATTCTCTGAAATTTGTCTAGTGATTGTTGATTCCCTTTCCTATGTGTTTCATTAAAATGTATTAAGTTTCCAGATGTGATCAACTGAAGGACACATCAGCTATGCAGTTTTTTGGCTGAGATTGCATGACCTCCATTTAATTATTGGAAACACTGGACAAACAGAAGGAGGCAGCTATTAAATCAAAGGGGAGGGGCTCTGCACTAACAAAATGTATCAGTATCACAAAAGACAAAGGAAGATAAAGACATATGACAACTGAATGCTACACCTTATTTCAGACTGTATGTATCCTGTACTGCTGGGGATAGGTGTGTAGGGGGTAGAAATAGTCACCAAACCAGATTTTAGGTAGCAAAAGTTTTGTATCAATGTGAAATTATGAAGTTGGCATGTATCTACAAAGTTGAGGTAGAGCCAGGACACATATAATGTGCCCTCAAATGGTTCAGAAAAAAATGTACTTCCATGTATGTACAAGTGTACAGAGTACACAAGAAGGCACATTCACAAATCATAAAGCCAATGGGTAAAATATTATAATAGGTGGAATGGATGCTTGATGCAGTGGTTAAGTCACCACATGGATGCCTGTATCCCAAGTCACAGTGACAGGTTTGCATACTGGCTACTCTGCTTCTAATCTAGCTTCCTGCTAATGGATACCCTGGGAGGCAGCAGGGAAGGGCTCAAGTACTTAGGTCCCTATGCAGGACACCCAGATTAGTTCTCAGTTCTTGGCTTTAGCTTGGTGCAGCCCTGGTTACTGTGGGCATTTGGGAAGTGAACCAATAGATGTCTCTCTGCCTTTCAAGTAAAAACGAAAAAAAAGAAAAAATTTTTTTTTTAAATCACAATTGGTAAATCTGGGTAAAGAAGATAAAAAGATCTCCTTTGTACTCTTATTTTTCATTTTTAAACAAACTGTGGGGATTGGCACTGTGGCTTAGCAGGTAAAGCCAGCGCTGCATCCCACAGAGGCACCCATTCAAGCCCCAGCTGCTCCACTTCACATCCAGCTCCCTGCTGATGAGCCTGGGAAAGCAGAGGAAATGGCCTGTGTACTTGTGCCCTTGCACCCATGAGGGAGACCCAAAAGCATCTAGCTCCTGGTTCCTGGCTTCAGCCTGGCTCAGCTCTGGCCGTTATTGCTATTTGGGGAGTGAACCATCAGGTGAAGATTCTCTCTCTGCCTCTCAAATAAATAAATCTTAAAACAAGTAACTGTGGTAAAATTTACCACTTTAACCATCCAATTCAGTGGCATTAAGTACATTCACATTCTCTTCAACTGCATCACACCAGTTAGTTCTAGCTATTTTTACCATTTCAAACTGAAACTCTGTACCTGTTAAACACAAACCACCTCTCCTGTCAGCGCCATGCATTCACAATTCTGTTTTCTGTCTCTGTAAACTGACTATTCTAGGTAACTCATATAAACAGAACTAGACAGTATTTGCCCTTTTATGCTTCACTTTTTAACTTAGCATTATCTCCAAGGTTCATCCATTCTTTCGTTGGGAGACACTTGGGTGGCTACTGTATTTTATCTATTGTGAAAGATACAGAGGCATATAAATACCTGAGACTCTGATTTGATTTACTGTATGACTTAACTGGCATGTTTAAGTTTTTGAGGAGTCGACATACTGTTTTCCACAGCAGCTTCATCATTTTACATTTCCACCAATAGTACCCAAGGGTTGCACTTGCTCCACATCCTCAACCAGCACTTTTTTTTCTGTTCTTTTCATAACAGTACGAAGTGCTATCTCACTGACTGGGATTTAGATT